AGGCAGATCAGATATGCATCTATCTCAGGGAGCCAAGGAGTGACTTTGAATAGAATGGGGGTGGGTTTGCCCTGAGCAGTTCCCAGCCTGACTTTTTCCCCAAGTGATTTTTGGGGCCCAAGATATTTTCCTTTCCCAGGGGGAAGGGAGTTAGGGCCAGCTCCAGCATCCTCGGTCAGGAGGTCGCTTCCGTTCTCAGAGCTCCCGTCCTTAGAACCGCCCACACCCCCATGAACTCAGGGCCCACCGTGGGGCAGAAGCTGTGTTGTCCTTGCTTGCACCTCCACCCGTCACTAGGTGAGTGGCACTGGAGACACTCAGCCCTAAGTGTGGGTGTGGTCTCCCCGGGGCCTCAGCATCGTGCAGGTCACCTCCAGGTCAGCCCGGAGACTCCAGGGCACCAGTGTCATCTCTGCTCTGCTGCGGGGTCACCTCTGGTTCAGCCCGGGGACTCAGGACACCAGTGTAGCCTCTGCTCTGCTGCTGTAACTGCCAGCTTCAGCTGCAGGAGGAGGAGGAGTTGGGACATCGGGAAAGAGGCAGGAGCTCCTTTGTAGAGAAGCTCAGAGGTTTCCAGAATGCCAAGCAGGCCTCCTGCCTCAGAGCACACCCTGCAGTTGGAATAGCAAAGCATTGGCTTTCTGAACCCCAGCCCCAGTGGGCGCTCTGCCTTGGGGAGCAGCAGACTCCAGGCTTCAGGGTGAGAATTCTGTTCTCTCTTTGCATTATAAATGTGAATCTAACAATTATAGCTGATTAGCATGCAAAAGTCAAACAACATTTGGCAGAGCCTCCTTTCACCTCTAATGGTTCCCGTCTGAGCTGCCCAAATGGTTGCCTGGCACCTGATTTCAGTGGGCCCAAGGGGTTTGCTCTGCCCCACGGCTGCAGGGGGGAGATGGGGGAGGCCTGTGAGGGAGGCAGCAGCTGGAGCCCAGAGGACTCCAGGCCTGTGGTTCCTTCTGTCCCAGGCCCCAGGTTTGCCTTTTCCCCAGGTTTCAGAGTCTTCCTGCACTTGTTGAGTGATGCCCAGGATATTCTGCTGTGAAAGGGAGAAGCCAGGAGGGCGGCACTGCTCTGTCTTGGCAGGAACTGGAGGGCCCGTCTGATTGATTTTTGTGTGGCTGTTGTAGTTGTAGCTTTGATGGTTGTGCTTAGTTTATGGTCAGCAAGGTCACTCGGTGTACTGTCACCCAGGATGTGAGAGCACCAATGCACCCCGATCTAGCCCCTCTGTCAGGCCCCACTGCCCTGACAACTCCCTGATGTGGATGCCACAATGAGGGACATGTGGCCACAGCAAACGGAAAATGGGCTCTGGGATCCCTGTGGCAACTTGATCGCTTTTTGCGGCTGGCAGCTGGGGTGTGTTCTCAGGGATGGTCTGCGGTTCCAAGCCGGACTCTCTCCCCATAGCTCACAGCAGCATATGCACGGACTCTCCCCATAGCTCACAGCAGCATGTGCGCGGACTCTCCCCATAGCTCACAGCAGCATGTGCGCGGACTCTCCCCATAGCTCACAGCAGCATGTGCGCAGACTCTCTCCCCGTAGCTCACAGCAGCATGTGCGCGGACTCTCTCCCCATAGCTCACAGCAGCATGTGCGCGGACTCTCCCCATAGCTCACAGCAGCATGTGCGAGACTCGCTCCCCATAGCTCACAGCAGCATGTGCGCGGACTCTCCCCATAGCTCACAGCAGCATGTGCGCAGACTCGCTCCCCATAGCTCACAGCCTCAGAGCAGACCCGGTCCTGAAACAGCTACAAACGCCCCGAGGACCATCCACTCTAGGACGGGGCAGAGGGGTCAGTCCAAAGTTTTACAAGCCCTGAAACAACCACCAGCCCCTTAGGGCACCCACAGTGTGTGGAGAGGGAGAGGGGAAGGGAGAGGAGCTCTACCCCGGAGACCAGGATCTTCTCTTCAACCGAGCTCTGTCCCCTTCCACCCAGAACCCTCCCAGCCTCTCAGAGGGGCCTTGAGTGGTGGGGGAGGGGAGCCAGCAGGAGCAGTTTCACGCAGGGCTTCTGCTGGGGGGAGCCTCAGAGGAGGGGTCCCCCAGAGGCCACATCCCTGGGGGTAACCGGAGGACACCTGCCCGTGGGGTGTGGGCGAGACCCCAAGGCCTCCAGGCATGCATGAGTTAGAAGGAGTGGGTGTCTGGGCTCCGTGGACCTGTTCAGGCTTTCTCCTCCTGGGGGTCACTTCCATCAGGGTGGGGAGCGGGCTCTGTCTGACACGAGGCTCAGCACAACTCAGGCACCTGTTCTTGGAAACCCTCCAGGGGCACGTGAGCTTGACGTCCAGGAATGAGCTCCCCCGGGGGTGAAAGCCATTTCCCACCCACCCTCACCTCCCACCCAGTGCTGCCCTTGAGAAGCCTCTGCCTGGGGTCGGGGGTGAGCAGGCAGGGCCTGCACTTGCAATTTGCAGACATTGCCCCCATCCCAGGGCTACATCAGACTGGGGAAGATGAGGTGACCATCTGCTCCCCTGAGAGCCTTGGCGATTTCTGTTAGAGATTTGCAGAATCTCCCTGAAATTTCCTTAAAATGTTATTTGCCCCAACTTTACTGAACTCTCATTAGAGTAATCAATCCATACGCTTTGCATAAGCATTTGATCTTAATAAGAAATAAGAATGTTGGAACTAGGACTGTTTTGACTATTTCTTAACATCTAAGTTTAACTAACTTAAATAATTCAGTAGGTGGCCATAGAAAACCTGGAGACATTTCTACCTAAGGACAACACATTCAAAGACTTATGGGTTATTTATTCCTTTAATTTCCCCTCAAATACAGCCATACAAGCATCCATATTATGTGGTTTCAATGAATATTTATTTCTCAAATGAGCTACGCGGCTGTTCGGATTTTCTAATGAAAGGCGGGGAGGAGGGAGGCTCGGCCTTTTGTAGGCTCTATCGGCCGCGACTGTCCCAGATGCTCCCAGAGTCCCCAGCACAGGAGGCCCTGACCCATCAGGGTCTGCACGGGGCTCCAGAGAAAGGAGCGTCTGCCCTCCACCTCACGCGGAGCAGAAGCCAGTGAGAGTAGCAAAGGCGCTCCCACCCCCTGCTGGGGTGCGCTGCACTTCACAGTCTGCAGGGGCCACACTGTGTCTAGCAGGGCTGGGGTGCAAGGAGTTGGCTGTCAGTCTCCTTCAGCCTCCCGTGCCTCAGCTACCTGGAAAATGGACACAGGTGTCACGGGGTGGGTCCTGCCCTATAGGAGGAGCCCACACGTCATTACCTGTGGTCTCAGCATAAGGGACACAGACTCTGGGCTTAAATCTGGAGGCCATATGGGGACAGTGCCATCCCCTCAACCAGCATCACCACGATGGGATTTTGGAGAGGGGCTGGGGGTTATGCACCTCTGATTTTATTATTGCCCTCTTTCTCCATCTCCCAGCTTCCAGCTCCCTCCTCTTAAGATCACGGAGTCTCTATTTCCTTCCACATCTGCACCTCATTCCTTATGTATGTGAGATCCTCCGAAGGCAGAGCTATAGAGCAGGAAATCGGTTTTGCAACAGACCTTCCGCCATGAATTTTCAAGGTTCTGAAGGCAGAGCTATGGAGCAGGAAATCCGTTTTGGAATTGACCTTCCACCATGAATTTTCAGGGTGACTTGCATGGAATGTCCATTGGTAGAAATGGAGATTTCCTTTCCTGCGAGGAGATGTTTCCCTGCTCAATCTGGGTGCTGAATCCCAGCCAGGCTCTCTCCAGGGGCAGGCAGGGGACACGCCAGGTGTCAGCAGTGTTTCCATGGCACCTGTTTCCTTCTGAGGCCTGGGGCAGTAGGACCACGGGAGGGGTCTAGGGCAACAGACACAGCTCCGTGGGGTTCCCCAGTTGCTGGAACCTCGGGGTCTGGGGCCCTCCTCCCTCATCCCTCCTGGACTCAGAAGCCATGTCTGGTGGCGGCTGATGCATGGGCTTCAGAGTCTGGCAACCCTGGGATTGAGCCCCAGGCGTCCCTGGTGTCATGCAGGTGCATCTGTGCCCCTGGAGGGTGTGTATGAAACGAGATGAAGCAACAGCAGACCTAGCCCAGTGCCGGGCACTTAATAGGCAGGAATACATGTTAAGTGTCCTCAGGAGACATGCAGGGACCAGCACCAGCTCCCCCGCCCCCCACCCCCCGTGTGGGGCGCAGATGGACCCTCTGCTGCCTCATGGCACACACCAACTCCAACCCTCCTGGTGCCTGACCCAGACCCCTGCCAGGGATGGAGGTGGGATGCAGCCTCCCTCGACTGGCCTGGTCGCTGCATGAGGGGAGGCTGGACAGGGCTGGGGCCTCAGCGTTCAGTGAGTAGTGAGGGGGAGCTGAGAGACCCAGGTTCCAAACCCCCAGAGCAAGCTCCATTGAACTTCACTTACAAAGCCCAAATTCAAACATAAAATTAAGAATTTCAAGATCTTTGCAGCCAGACTGCAGGGCCTCTGGGCATGGAGGGAGCCACTGACTGTCGGATGCATCTGTGCCAGACTCGAGTGAGAGACACACCTCGGTCACAATGCTGAGTGCTGGGGGCGCTCCAGCGGCCTTGCCCTAACTGGGACAGTGCCACTGGTGTGATCCCCATTCTACAGAGCAGGAAACAGGCACAGAAGGCTGGGTAGCATTCCTGGGGTACTTGGGAGGGAGATGGAGAGCCAGGCTTACTTGCACCCAGGTGTCCGGGTCTGCTGAGATCCCTGCTGGCCACGCAGTGAGCTCAGCGTCATCATCACCATCCTCGACGTCAGCCCCACAAGGAGGTTGCTGCCTGCCGTCCCGGCCTCCCACTGCAGAGGAAAGAGGCCTGGCAAAGAAGGAACGGGGCTCAGAGTCCCAGCCTCTGGGCACTGGATTAGAAACGGTGCTTCCAGAGTGCCTGGAAGGAGGGAAGCAGCTGCCAGCGTCATTGTCATTATCTGTGTTGAGGATGACACAACAATGCCCTCGATGACGTTGAATGGCTGTTTCCAGACTCAGGGGCTCCCTGCCTCACTCAACTGAGGACCTACCCTGGCCGCAGCCCGTCCTCAGCCCTCAGCAGAGCTGGGGCCTGGGCAGCTCGGCCGTCTTCTTCCAGAGGGGCTCAGACATCCTCGGGCGCTGAGGGTCATCCCAGGACCCAGTGTGTCCCAGCCCTTGAGGTGGGTTCATCCACGTGAGTGCCAGAGTCAGACAGCACCCCCGCGGGTGGGAGAAGCCCTTCCCGGGCAGGAGTGTGCCCCATTGCAGCTCCATTTGGAGGGAGATTTAACACGTTCTGACATGCAATAGGCTTTCTCTTCAACTCTTCCAAGACGTGGGCACTGATTTTCTCGTCTACAGGCTGAAGGACGGGGCTCTGGAGTGGAGATGCAGAAATCGAGGTAGTGGCCACTGACCGACGGGGCGGGAGAGAAGCCCTGGGGCCCATGGGTCCCCACATGTAACCGTATGTCCTCTGTGCAGAGCTCGGGACACTGGTGCCATCGTGTCCCCATGTGTCACCTCATGTCCTCTGCACAGAGCTTGGGACACTGGTGCCATCATGTCCCCACGTGTGACCTCATGTCCTCTGCACAGAGCTTGGGGCTGTCCTCTCATGGCCGCTCCTGGATGGTCAGGCCCTGTGTTCCAGGCGGCTTTGACAGTGACTGTCCCCGGTGCTGCCGTCACTAACCCAGCCTAAGAGCAATAAAGCCACCTGCCCTGGAGTGGAGAATGTGTGGGTTGCTATGCACCAGTCGCCATGGCACCAGCACCCGTGACTTCAGGTCGGATGAGTGTCTGGAGAAGAGTGAGCAGCGTCAAATGGTCAGGGGCCCAGGGTGCCTGAGGAGGTCAGCCTCTGCCCAGTTCTCTGCGGGGAAACCTGTGGGGCTGTCCTGGGCCCCACAGAGCTCACAGTCGCCCTGGGGAGCAGGGAGGAGGGGCCCAGGAGGCCTTCTCATCTGGGACAGTCCTGGAAGAGGCCCCTCGGGGACACACATGGGAAAATGGGGCATCCAGCAGCCAGACTGAGCCAGGACCTTGAGAGAAGAGACAGCTGTCCCCGGAAGTCCTGTAATCTGGCTGCTCCATCCACCAGCCAAGTGGAGCATCCTGGACCACTCACAAGGGGCTCTGCTCTTCATGACTTTAATGCAACCTGTCACCGTCGTTGTGGGTGATCACTAACACAGCATAGCAAGGCAGGGAGACTACAGGGTGAGGAGTTTCTGCAGAAGATGTTGGAACCAGGAATGTGCACAGACACCATGAATGTGAATTGTAACTTCAAAGGGAAGGCACAGGCAGCCCAGCAAAAGCAGCAGCTGATGGGAGCTCGCGGCGAGCCCACCTCTCCTCCAGGTGGCGAGAGACCTCAGAGGAGAGGCCCGGGGTGTCGGCCCCCCTGGAACAGAGAGAAAGATGCCTGCGTGGACGGGTGCCCAGAGGTGTGGACAGCAGGGTCCCCATGCTGACCGCGGCAGGACAAGCTCGGGTTCAAGCTCCTCAAGGAAAGCTTTAAGCTCATCCCCAGCTTCTGAGCAGGTGCAAGCCAGTCCCAGGGACGCTTTGTTCCGTTCCCTGCTCTCCAGGGGAGGCGGGTGGGGAAGGGAGGAAGACAGGGGCCTCTCCCTCCTCCCTGCACAGCCTCAGACCTTCCAGCCGGAAGCAGTGGCATCTGGTAACGATGATGACTACGCTACTAATTATTAGCATTATGATTTAATAGGCAGGGAGCCAGTGAAGTGCAGGGGCTGGGGGAGCTGCAGCACAGAGTCCAGGAGAGTCCATCCCGGCCCCGCTCCTGAGCCCGGGTGACCTTGGGCCAATCCCCCAAGGTCAGCCATTCTGTTGGTTTCCATCACCTCTAAATTGCAGTTCCCAGGGAGCACAAAATGAGAAAAAGTGCTTAAAACCCTGAGCATGGATGGCTCCTGCCTCAGGGCTGTGAGCTGCTGCCACCATTAGTCCTGAGAAAGCCAGTGGGGCGGGGGCTCCACCCAACCTGGGACGCTCCATGTGGTCCATATGTCGTCCTGTGAAATTCTGAGTCTGTTGCCAGTAGATCAAAGTCGGGATGTTCCAGGTAAAACCTGGATTTCCACCTCCTCCTGGAGAACCGGAAGTCCTGGCAGCTCCAGGCGCACCCGGCCACAGTCGGCTGTCAGAGTCAAGGCTGGGGGCTGCTCCCCAGTGACCAAGCTCCCACCAGCTCAGCTGGACTGGCAGCCACGTCCACCCAGCCCTGGGCATTGGTGCTGTGACCCTGATGTGACCTGGGCCTTTGCCCCCGAGGCCCTGAGCCCCCCTCCCCCAGCGAGAGGCCTAGGGCGTCCGGAGTAAGCTCAGTGGGGAGCAGCCTGTGTGGGGACGCCTCTCACCACAGGTTCCCCCTGAGTTTAAACAAAATGCACATGTGCACACATGCACACACTAAAACACACATCTGCACACACCTGCACATAGCTACACACCCACACGGATGCACAGCACACACATGCCATGAACACACATAGACACACAGGTGCACTCACACATATCCCACAGACACGTGTGCACACTTACGCACACATGCTCAAGTATACACCTGCACAGAACACATGTACACACATGTACATACACTCATACCCACACACCCCATGTATGTGTGCACATGTGTGCTTAAATACACACCTGCACATAGCACATGTGTACACATATGCACACATCTCTACATCCCATGTACCCGTGTGCACATGCATGGTCAAATACTCATAACACATACATGTACACATATATGCACACATGCACACTCACATCCATACATCCCATATACTTGTGTGTACACACATGCTCAAATACACAGCTGCACATAACACATGTACACACATATACACATACTCAGATCCATACAACCAAAAACACATCCATGCACACACATACACATATATGCACACGAAAACATGTCTGCACATTCATGTGTACTACATGCACACATCCACACACCCACATGGATACACAGATACACAGGCACACTAACATCCACACAACTCCACACACATGCATGTACATACCCACACACACCCCCGCACACACACCTGCATACCTATGCTCACATCACATCTATATGAACACCTGTACACACACCTGCACACCTGGACACACACATGCCACCTGCACACCTGCACACCCAGCCTGTCTCCCAGCCCTTTGACAATGACATTCCCCCTTGAGGGTTCCCAAATCCATGACTACACTCAACCCCTCTGCAGGGCCGTGCAGACCCCGAGTCTGCTGCAGGAAAGAAAGTGCAGTGGGGGATGATGAGAAGCTCCCCTGACATGGCTGGATCCAGTGTCCCCTGCACCCATGGGGTTGGACAACTGGTCACTGAGGCCGTGGCATTAGAGAGGAGAGGCATCGAAATCCCCTGTGGGATGGCTGTGGGAAAGGATGCGTGTGGGGTGAGGACGAGGTGCCTGAGCTGGAAACCAGAGCTCCAGGTTCTCCCCGAGAAGGATCAGATGGAGACCACAGGCTGGGAGTCTCCAAGTCAGGGGTCAGCAGGAATCAGCCTGGGGCCCCGGCTCCCTGCAGGGGGAAGGGGCTGGATGGCCACCGTGGACTCAGCCTCTGTGGACTGTGAGGGAAAAGCTCTCGCCCTGCAAAGCCAGCCCACGCCTGCCTCGCTGAGGGACTGATCAGCGCCTCGCAGGACTCTCCACTCAGCACTGGAAACAGAATGTGCTTGGGCCGCTGACTTACTTGGGCCACCCTGAGGGAAAGTTAGGAGGCACCAGTTAAGTTAGAGCATAGGGGATGCAGGGACCCTTCGTCAGGAACTCAAAGGGGAAACAGAGCCCAGGCCCTGTTATTCCGCATCTACTCACCCCTCCCTCCGCAAGGGATCAGAGGCAGCTGGGGGTGGGAGCCCCTCCAAGACGTCTGAGCCCAGGGGAGGCCCCGTCCTCTCTCTTCTGACGTCTGAGCCCAGGGGAGGCCCCGTCCTCTCTCCTCTGATGTCTAAGCCCAGGGGAGGCCCCCTCCTCTCTCCTCTGTGGGACGTGCCCCAGCCCGGGGACGGGGGACCAACAACGGGCTCTTCACACAGAACCAGACTGTTTCATTGACCCTGGGAGTGAGAGTTCCGGGTGCTGTGTGTCCCTGAGGAATGACTCACCTTCCTAGCAAACTACAGTTAAATGCCATCAAATCAAGCTGCTGGTTCTAACCCCGGAACTTACATGAAATGCAGGGAAGGGAGGAGCATCTCCAAGGATGCCTGGGGATGTGATCAGCACCATCTGGACAGGGGACTCACAGGACAAATGGCACAGCCCTGTCCTTCTGCAAAGAAACCATGGGGAGAAAAGAAGGGGCTGGAGGAGAGGGGAGAAGGAAGATGGCAGAAATGTGCGGATACCTTCCCCCCATAACCAGTGGTGTGCTGGCAGAGGCGGAACAACGGGATCTCTTGGCATGTGTGTATGCTCACACACGTGTGCACAGATTTTCATTTTTACTGACACAGAGGCTCTGCAGCACCCAGATTTTCAATAGTGAAATACACCACGCCCTTTATTGTGAATTCCGTATTGCAAGCGGTTGTTGCAGGATGTTCTCACTGATTCTTACTGAACTGTTCTATTCATAGTTGACTTCTGGGTGCCGGCTATTGATTTATTGCCTCTGAGTTCCAAAGTTGTCCTGCGTTGTCTGCTGGGTGGAAATGCGTCTGGGCCCGGCAGCATCTCTCCTGTATCAGCTGGTGCAGTGTTGAGCACAGTCAGCAGAGGGCGCCGAGGAGGCCTGGCAGGAGGAAAGGTGCTGCTCTCCGGTCCCTAAACCAGCTCCAGTGGCTGGACTGGAAGGTCTGGGCTGGGCTCCCTTGCAGGGTCGTGCTGGGCTGGTGGCTTCTCCAGTGCAGGCGCCTGTATGAGCTTTCTCAGGTTCTTTGGAGTTCTCTGTACTCCTTAATCCTCAACTCCTCCTTTCTGCAGTCCTCTGTTAAATTGAACAAACCATTAAATAAAACCTGCCCGGTTCAAATCACTGTGGGATTTCTCTCTCCTGATGGAACCCAGGCTGACACACTGTGGCTGCAAATCAAGCAAGATTTGGCAAAGATAGACAATGAGTAAATGTTTTCACTGTCAGATTCAGCAAGAGACTCGCAGGACTGGCAAATGGGTGCAGTTCTGATGTGTGTGTGGGCTGTAATTTCATTACACTGACCTAAGTGAGATGACGTCACATGTGTCGGCTCAGGTCAGACGGAAGTTGACACTGGAGCCCCACTTGTCATCAGTGAAGTGAGCAGATTCCTCACTTAATCAGAAAATCACTTTCAGGCCAGGTGCAGTGGCTCATGCCAGTATTCCCAGCACTTCAGGAGGCTATAGTGGGAGAATTGCATGATGCCAGGAGTGTGAGTCGCCCTGAAAGATCTCATTTGTCTCTACAAAAGTATTTTTAAAAATTAGCTGGATGTGGTGACGTGTGCCTGTAGTCCCCGCTACAGGGGAGACCAAGGCCCAGAAATCTTCCCAGACCATGGGATTTGGCTCCCCCTTTCCTGCCTGACTTCTTGAAAGTTGCTTGTTTTTTTGTTTTTTTGGTTTTTTTTTTAATTGTAATAAAAGACACATAACATAAAATTTCTCATCTTCACCTTCTTTTTCTAAGTGTATATATAGCAGTGTTAACCAAACTCACATGGTAGCACACGAGATCTCTAGAACTTTTTCATCT